ATGGCCCTAAAATATCAAATAGTAGTTTAGTTTTTGTTTCTTTTGTTCATTCATTTGTTATGTCAACTGACGAGACGACTAGATTCAGAATTGATGGCAGTCTTAGCGCTTCCCAAACTTCTAAGTACAGTGAAAGTTGCGGCCAAGTGTTTAAAAGTATCGGTTTCGGGTCCACCTCCGGCCACATTAAATAATTGCCGCAATATTATCATTGATGAGTAGGTCTTTCCGCTGCCACTCATACCACTACAAAGCCAATGGATTAAGTGATGGATACCGGGGGTAGAAATGGCTATAGTTTATGGATTCATACCTCAAAATGATTGCCTGTGGATAACCCGTCTCATTGTGTTGTCGAACCGCTTCGTGGACTATACGCAAGAGTTGTGTGCACTGAAGGGCTTCCATATGAGTGCTGTTTAAAGTCAATGCATTTCTTCGGTCTTTGAAATTATTTAAAGACAACAAAACTGGTCCGACGTTTGTCTGTTAATTCACGTATAGTTTATATATTATATTAATTGCAAATAATATTCTTAATATTTCCCCAATAATTCTCTCGCATATAAAAAATAGTTGCGATAATTATTTGAGGAATAAATCAATAAATCATATATTTTGGGACTAATTAACTCACGTAATACTCTTTGGCCAAAAACATAGAGTGAAGCGCTCGAAGCAATGAATCTTCAGTTAATGGCCCCAATAAGTGTATCAAATCATTTGCTTCTGTGTATAAGTACTCCTGTTTTCTTGATTTGTTGACTATTAATGAGGAACAGGACTTAAATACCTCTATAAATGGGTTCAAAATCAATGGTAACTAAAGTTAGACTAAAACTTTTGTATTTTCATAACTTATGATATTAAGCAGTAATTGTTTTGCTCAACCGTTTTAAATATTTATATACATGTATATAAATTAGTTAGAATTGAGAGTATAGTTAAATGATATGTAAATTGAATTGTCTTACCCTGAAGTTGACGCTCTGTTTGCCAATACTTTGTCAACTATTTTTAATGTACAGAAAATACCGGCAATAAATATATTGTTTGACAGAAACAGAAATTATATGAATATTAGTGATAAGACAAACCTCAGCGAAATATTTGTCTAAAATAAACACTTTTGAAAGTCCGACAGCAGTTGCCATGACTTAAACTTTATAAATCAAGTCTTAAGATGAAAATTCAATTCATTTAAAACAAATCAAAACTAAACATATGAGACAAAGAGTGAGTGTTTTTAAACAATTATTATGTAATAATAGCTTGAAATCACATAAAAATGAATTTAGTATTTGGTGTTCAAGTGTTTCAAACATTTAGGTATGAAATGTGAAGCACAGAGAGGAGGAGAGGAGTGCCGACCATATTGTGATTCTGGTATAAGAAAAGGCAAAACTTTAGCTAAAAAGCTCCGAAACTGAAGGGGAAGGCATTCCCTTCGCTGTGTTAGCCCTACAAGAAGTGCCCCATCGATGACGACCTGAGACTAACCTTCGCTTAAATGACAGCTTAGATGAAAGCTATAGAGACTGAGTCTATGACTTGACGTGACTCTACCTGAGCCCTGAGCCACTGGCAACTCATTCAAAGTGTATGATATGGCTGCGGGCGCTATGCCTTAACTGAACCTGATTTGCAAAGCGCCAAAACAGGTAAAGAGATGCCAAAGAGGGCATTCAATTGGCGTCAATACAACTCATCTCAATACCTGTCCCAACACTAGCCAACACTCTATACTTAACTTCACTTCAAATAAATGCATTTCAAATACTATCCAAGAATTAGATTTTTCCAACAAATCCAACAAAACTTTGTTTTTGCTTTTATTATTGTACTAAAAACTGTTTCCTATTTTATTGAAAATTTTGAGCACTTTTTGTATTTTATTTGATGTTATTTTTTATCATTGAATAAATGAATTTCAATGTCCTTTTATTACTATCAACAGAATTATATACAATGTTGTAAATACAAAATTATACGATATATTTCTTGAGTTTATAATAAACATTTGAAGCATTTGCGAAATAATACTTCCAAACGCTTTTTCCATTAAAATACAAACAAATATTAATCATAAAATAGAAAAATCTCTTTTCTTTTAACTCTATTCAGTTTCGTATAGTTTTATTCAATTCTATTTGTGTTCACAAAAACTTTTCGTTTGAATAAGTTTTATAAAACATAACTTTAATTGCAGTTACTTTAAATGTTGCAGATATGAATCGATTTTAAATATATTTTTAATAATTTGTTAAATCTTAAAATTTATAGAATATAAATCTAATGAATATTATTTAATAAGTCAGTAATAGAAACTACTTGGTCAATTAAAACATAAATTTATTAAATATATTTTATTATTACTAATAATAAAAATAAATTTTTATAAATCAATTTAATTTAAAGCGAGTGTTTGTCTAGTTTTTGAAAAAATATTTTTATTTCAAATTAATTATTGGGTTTAAAAAAATCAATGCCTTCAGTACTGTATGCAATGCTATTTACTGTGGAGCCAATAATGAGTGCTACTGTAGGCAATACTTCACTATTATTATCCAAATTAGTCTTTCAAATTGTATGCCAACCCGAGTCCGGTCCGCTTGTAGTGTACACTAATATATTCCGGTTTGGTTCCGGTCGGGTCTGTACAATAAAAGACTTTCTATCGGCATACATGTATACAAGGGATTTGTTGACAAAACAAACAAAACCCTTTAACTCCTACGGGAATATTCCCTGTGGTTCCCGCCGTAGACAATGGCACAAACGGTTCCATTTGTATATTTCTTCGTGGATTACATTACAGTATATGTACACAAATTATTTTACAAATATTATCCACTTCATGTGTTTCCATGCCTTATATCGGGTCCGGTTCAGGAATAGAACCGGATTCCTGACTAAAATTTGAAATACTAATTTAAGCGATATAACATTGACTTCATTTAATATATCCCTAAAAAATATATCCCGTACCAAAAATATATGCCTTCTACCATACATTGTACCTTTACATCAATTGTACAGCGAATACTAGAGGGATATATTTTTTGGGGATATATTAAATGAAGTGAATGTAATATGACCTGTGTGGAATCAGCTTATGGTTCATTTTATATCAAACTTGATCATAGTTTTCATTCAATTATATTTCAATCAAAAATTTTGTTTTTATTATAAGATCGCAAATAAATATTAAAATTGTAAAAATGAACCATAAGTTGATTCCACACAAGTCTTATAAAATGATTATCCAAACAAATTCTATAGAGTAGATACAACTTCGATATATTAATGCATTTCTTTCATTATAGTCTCTGCCATATAATAAACTATATTAACTGAATTATTCGCAATTTATAAACAAAAATGTATTACAAGATTAACCATAACTGCAATCACTCTTATATTTAAAGTTTATGTTACGGAATACTTTTCAAATGCTATTTCGCATTCATTATACAGTATGACTTCAATACTTACTGCAACACAATGTGAACAATAGACTAGTCACTGTAACATAGTTTTATTCTAATTTTATACAAACCCTAATACATGTACAATAATCTACTTTCAATGAGTAGAAAGTAATGGTTCATACGGTACATCACCATATGGTCGCACTTCTATTGCATAATGACCACAAGCATACACTAGCAATAAAGTGTATATTCTTATGGCAATATTTGCAATATATTTTTATTTATAAATCAAATCAGATTTTAATATAAATTTAATATTGAAAACAGAGTATAAGTGCACTCGACTCACACTATAATATGGAATCCCAAATTAAGTGTAATGCCATACCTTAACATGAGGCTAATGTTATCTTACGGTTAATAATATGATGTGGGTTCATGTTAAGTTTATGGCTAATTCTAACTCTGTGGGTAATACTATTTCATAAAATTCAAACTATGAAACTACGCTACTCTTATGTGTTACTGATAAGTACATGTGACCCCACAGTGATGCTATTCCAATTGGGAATCATGCTAATTTGTAAATCAATGTGACTAAATGTACTGCCAATGTATTGATATATCAAATAGAATAGATATTTGACTGTAATTCCTTTGTAATGACTAAATATGCTAAAGAAAATGCTTTTTAAATATTTAAAATACGTTAATTTCTAAATATGATTAGCAGTATTAATTGATTGCTAATAGAATATTGTATAAAATTATACTATAATCAAACAATAAATGTTATTTCTAACAACATTTGTCAGTTTTGTTAATTTCTCTATTACTCCTTCAAAATTGAGTTTAACTTGATCACTTTACTCGCAACTTGTATCGCAAACTCATATAAAATTTATATTAAACATTCTAAAAACTTTTAATGTAAAAGTTTTAACAATAATGTAATTTTTATACCAAAAAAAAAGTTTGGAAAAATTACATTGAAATGTGCGAAATAAAGTGAAATACCGGTAATTGTCAACAAAAATACTGATGGATGTGTATAGAGATGTCCTCAAATTGACCGAATGTTCTCCTATACAAACTGTATACAGCGTACTATACAGTGTAGTTCTCAAAAAAGTTATTTGCATAAACGTCAAGCCTCTGCATAATTGTGCATAAAAGTGCTGGAGGTGTGAGGCCTGCAAACAATAGACACTTTTCACATAAATGAAAGTCTCATTTCAATGGTGTGGTTCTGGTTGGGTTCGGACCCATACAACACCTGCAACCAGTTCTTAGGCTTCCATTAAAATTATGCCATTTATGGGCTATAATACCGATACATGCAGTCAATACATCTAAATGTATAGACATTTTTGTTAAATACAACAATTATTTATAATAAGAGAATAATTGAATACAATTCAAAGAAAATGTAAAATTTATATATTTTTTCAATCATATGAATCAGACTTTGAATTAATTAATAATAATTACAATTGTATTAAAAATATATTACTGTTTGATGCAAATAGTTACAGATATCATAGAATTTATAAATGAATAGAAAAATTATTTCTTAATGAATGTAATGTTTCGTTTGACAGTTTGTGGATTCTTATTGAGCTGTTTATTAAGTGAACGACGGCTCGAATTCTTTGGTAAATTTTTTGTATCCCTAAACACTGTAGAACTCGATGTGGAAGCGATTGGCTTTGGGGACAAAATCCTGTCAAACAAACATATAAATGGCATTTAATTAATCAAATCAATGTCAAAATGAATGCATACTTTTTGTGAGATTGTTTTGGTTGTGATGACCCATCCTTTGAATGAGTTTTTCGCTCCAAAACTCGTTTTGTGGCCGAAGACAATGGTTTGGTTTGCGATGAGTTTAGGTCACAATTTTGGGTTAAATGACTGTAATTGGATAAAACGGAACCCATTCTGAAGTATCGGTCGAGAATCTGTTCACGCGATCTACAGATGAGTGCCATTTGTGCCGATTTTGAATAACTGAAGAATATATCATAGAATTCACGGCAACTGTTCTGCAATTGAATTATCAAACGTTTGTGGAAATTAATGTCTTCGTGAGAGATCTTCCGGGATCTGATGGGAATGTTATGATAGGTCGCCAACAGTTGCGTTATCTCTCGGATTGTATCGATTTTTTGCATTACTTTCTCTGTTTTCATGAGTCTTCGCGTGAGATAACCCTTAACTAAAGCCGGTAATCGAGTGAATGAGTTCTTTGTCTGGTCCGACAAATGCTGTCAAATGGATTCAATCATTAAAATCAATTCAAAAACTAATTGTAAATCTCTTACTGAAAAATCGTTGCTTTGATTTGAGATGAGATCAGATTTGGACGGATTCTCACTTTCGGACACATCAGACATCACTGAAAGATAAGACTTGGAGGGAATGGTGTGGTTTGCAGACACGCTATTAGAGGCACATTTATTGCGATCACTGGCTTTGGGATCAATATCTTTGAGATCGGTTTGCGTTTCTTTGTGTGCGTTCGGCTTCGGAGTGACGATCATATCATTGATTAACGAATTCATAAAATTAGTTTTCGAGACAATATTATCGCCAATTGTTTTGCATCTAATACTCAGTGATTGCATCTGATGTTGAATAGCCATGAGCTCCATGTGCTCGCCATTCAGCTCACAGACCAATCTCTTGAGTAACACACGTCTGTTGCTGTCCTTCATGTCCTTCATTTGGTGGTCAAATGTGGACATCGATTGTCTGTCAAACCATAGGGAAGACTCATCGTGTGTTTGATCGGTGGTGTGGAGGCAGTCATCGGTTGGCGCGAGTGTTGGCCTGAGTGTGGAGTCGGTGGCGACGGAGGGCGGCATTGAGTCTCTGGTGGAGCCGTCGACGGCGTGACTGGCGGTGGACTGACTGGAGAGGGTGTCGAAGAGTGAAGAGTCGATTCGTGTGGAGCCGACGAGTGATGTGTTTAAGGAAGTCATTGGTGTGGCGTATAGTGAGACGTCTTGGCTGTCGATGTGGTCGCTGTCGTCGCTGTCATCACTGGCGGTGCAACTCATGCCCAAAGAGTGATCACCTCATGAGTGGATCACTGGCTTTGAGGTCATTGTGTATGTGATGTGCAGATAGTGTACAACTATTCGATGTGGTCGCTGTCGTCGCTGTCATCACTGGCGGTGCAACTCATGCCCAAAGAGTGATCACCTCATGAGTGGATCACTGGCTTTGAGGTCATTGTGTATGTGATGTGCAGATAGTGTACAACTATTTCAACCCAACTATACGTTCACTAAAACCAGTGTTTCGTTCATTCAGTCATTGAATGAGTCATTCATTCTGTCATACATTCCCTCAAAACGCTTGAAATGCAATGTTTTTGTGTAGTATTTGTTGACGTAATTCATGTCTAAAACATTTTATACAATATTTGTTGCATTTTTTGCTCAAATTTCTAAATTGTATTCAAAATAAATGGTAATTATATTTGTATTTAATGTGAATTACAATTGAATTATAATTGAATGAAACACTAAGTGATAGTTAAATAGGATTTAGTAGTGATTGAAATGAATTGAATGGGAATTGAATGCAAGAAATGATGAATTGATTGATAAGTCCTTTGTTTGTAATCCAAATGAACGCGCATTTCATGTGAATTGCATTTCATTTGCTTTTCACAACATTTTCACCGATTGTTCACTCATTTAATCATTTGTTTCATTCATTTATATGTGAATTGATTTGAGATTTGCATTCATTTGTCATTTATTTGTCTCTTATCATAGGTTTTGTACATAACTGTAGACAGAGTTTGAGTTTATTGTAAATAATAGTAATTATTGTGAAGAAGTAATTGAAACCAAACCATCAGATCAGACATGACTTCTGTCATCGCCAGCGTTGGAACCGGTCTTCAGAGGAGACCAAACAAAGACAAGAGGAGTCAACCAAATAAGTCCGGTTCTGTTGCCAATCACTCGTCGGCCAACGAATCCAATCAAAACAATCACATTTCCGATAAGATTAAAGCCGACTCTAAATTACAGGTATTTCTCAAATATGTTTGATTTGATTGAATGTGTTTTTGACAACAATTGTTTGCATTGAATGTAAGCCAACGGCAGAACAGATCCGAATCGCGAATCTTATGAATGATAAGATGGATGACAACGACCTGAAGGCCAAAATCGACCAAATCATTGAATTGACGGGTTCTTCACGCGATGACGCGGTTGTGGCACTTCATGACTGCGATAACGACACCGCAAAAGCCATTGATATGATCCTCGAGTTAGAGGGCGATAGTCTCGACAGTCAGTGGCGCTCAACCGGCAAAAAGAAGAAACCGCCGAAAAGCGCGTCCAATGCCAACACCGATGAGAACCTTAAACCCGATTCTAATCGCGACTCCAATAGAGGCGACCAGAATAGGGATGGGAAGCACTTGTCTTCTAAACCAAACTCTCGTCTCCAGAGTCGTGGCGGTGGACCGCCTCGTCTTCAAAGGGCCGCTTTGGCCAACAGAGGCGGACAACGAAAGCCTAGAGAACAGAATAAGACTAATGTGAGTGAGAAGAGTGATAACACAGAAGACGCTGTTTTTAAGCCTTTAGATCCGATGGCTCCGCCTTCGAGACGAGGCGACAGAAGGGGTCGCGGAAGAGGCGGTTCCAGTCGTGGCAATAGGGGTGCCTTCAGTGGTGGTGCCGGTCGGGGGACTTCGCAGAGAATTTTCCAAAACCGGGGGATTCAGAGTAACGATGGATTTCCCAACTCTATCGACACGTGGACTAACAGTACTGCTGACCAAAACAACAGTAAAGCCACACTTTCGACGGATTGCAATACAATGACTGTCGGCAACTGGTCTGACATCGCAACCAATGAAGACTGGAGTGAAGAGGACTGGGAGCCCAACGTAAGTGCACTCAACCCATCAATGATATCAATATAGAAACATGTCTTTATATATACAGCACATGGAGACCAAAGTGTTTACGCCGAGCACTAAGATTTCAGAGAAGGAGGAGATGGAGGTTAGAGACCATCCCTCCAATCAGACGTCCGGTTTGTCGCAATTCATGTCAAAGCCAACGGTCGATGCGAATCAGTCGATGAGTTCGCTGTTATCGTCAAACGTGTCGCGCAATCCTAACGTCGCCGCCGGACAGACACTTCTCCACCAAATCCAACAGTCGAACGCCGCACAGAATCCGGCACTGAATCAGTACTCTTTGAGTTACAACAAACAGGCGACTGAAAGCATCAAATCACTGGTCGGTCTCAACTCTGGAGCCAATTTTAGCGCAAACAATGCGGACTTATTATCAAACAGTGATCGAGATTTAGATTCATTGAGCAGTTCTCAGCCGTCGGGTCTCTCCAATAAGACGTCGCGAATAAAGCAGACGCGACCCTCAAAAATACCGGAATCAGCGGTTGAGATGCCATCAAACGATACGATCGCCGCATTGGGTGTCCATTTCGGTACTCTTGAGTTCGGTTCGGATCAGTTCTCATTGGGAACCGATTTCTCGGATACCGTTAGTCATGTGAATAAAGCGAAAAAAGCGGACGCAAACAGTTTGCCGCAGAGTTCTATGTTATCGCAGTCCAGTGAAAGCACATACAGGCCTTCCACTACCAGTTCCATCAAAGACTCCAATAAAGGGGTTTCGCCTATAATATCGAATCCAGTTCTCGGTGGACACCAATCCATGGCATCGGATTCACTGCTCGATCGCAGCAACAAATCATCTGTTGGACAGTTCGCACACAAAGTCCTCGAGAGAAACAATAAGTCTGATTATTCATCGGTTCCTTCCCAGCAAAACGTCAATTCGGCGGACATTACCTCAAACTACAAGAACACGTATTCTTCGGACACGTCCTACAACTACTCGACTACCACTCCCTCCAGTTATTCCTATTCGAACAGTCAATCGGTTTACGGCAATCCAGTGGTCGGCAATTATTCGACCAATTTTTCGGGAACAAACATTGGCAACACTTCCAACAGTTCCAATCAAAAGCTTAGAGACATGGACTCCGGTTCGCAACAAAAACAATACGATGTGTCCAATAATTCTGTCGGATCTCTTGGTCTCAATTCTACGGTCACTACAAATGTGTTGAAAAATACTTTGTCTGCGAGTGAGTGCATCTCAAACCTCTATTTGAATGTATTTGAAACTAATTATAATTTTGTTATTAAAGCCGGAAAAGGTGTTCATAACGTTCCCCCCGGTGTTGCAACTCCAGTGCTGAGCACTCCATATATTGTCCAAAACCCTGGTGTTCCCATCTATCCTATGGGTATACCTTATGATCTACAGTTTCAGACCACTGCACGCGACCACAACTTTGGTCCATACACTCAACAAGGTATGCATTCTATTGGTATGATATGTGGTGTGAGTTATTGATTTGATTGTCGATTGCAGATGTGAAATATGGTCGCGGATCCGATAATGAAGTAATCCCTGCGTCGACGAGTCAAACGGGTGTTTCTCAGACACACAATCAGACTTTTGTGAACACGTTTCCGCCCGGATATGGCTTTTATTTAGCGCCAGGAATTAATATGATGCCGCAGAGCATATACCCAACCGCTGGGCCCCTCTATCCTGTGCCTCAGCCCCAGAACACGGGTTCTGCCGGCTCTGCGTTTCCGAAGGCCAACACCACATATGGATCTCATTCCTATAATTCTGGTTACGATTCCATTTCAGCCCAAACACAAGATTACGTGAAACAAAGTTATCCCCAATCAGTTCAACAGCACAACAAAGGCATCACCGGTTCCAACACATCCGACCTCACGTCTGGCAACACTTCTATTTACAGCAAAAATCATTCGCAAATTAAGGTATTAAATGAGTGTTTTTCACACAATTAAATTGCCGTATGTTTTGACTAAATAAATGGTTTTATTTGTTTAGAGTTACGATAAACAAGGGTTTCAAACACAGACCCCAGCGTTCAATCTGTCGGCCGGTAATCAGTCTGCGGGTAACATATCGTCGTCATACGGGGGCGCATATGTCTTACCTCATTCACAACAAGCCATGTCTTTGCACACAATGTCGTCACTCCAAACAGATGTGTCCCAAAACAGTGGATCCGGAGTTTCAGGACAGAGATCTCTATCGCAATCGCATAAGAACTCTAACACTGGAGCCAACAGTTATAACAAATACAGTTGGAGTTAAGGCTTTGGCCCTCCACTCGATTTGAACCCGTCGTGTACTGTAAACGATACCTAAAACAACACTATATATAATGATTACATCATTTGTCACTTAATAATACCTTTTTATGTAAATTATATTTGCTTTAAGTGTTTATTTTAAAACCTAATAGTTTGGATATTTAATGCTTTTCAAAACCGATGTTTACTTTATTTGTATATCAGTACTAAACCCTATATATTATAACTTATATGTTATATTAATAGCTAAACAAACTTCTCTCACTTTCACATTGTTTTGATTTTACTCATTAAGTAATCATTTATTATATTATTATTCAGTTTATTATTATTATTATTATTATTGCTATTAATTAATGAATTTAAGCTAAAATAATATTACAAGAATAAGTATATAATTAATTGGTATATATATGTTATATCTTATTACTATTGTGTGTAACCGTAATAATAGTGTAGATTTTGTCATTTGATTTTATTTGACTTTAAATCAAGGATTTTATGAGTAAAAAGAGCACAAAAATGGGTTGTTTCTAATAAATCAATTAAATTCTTTATTAATTCACTATTTTTATTCAATTTGCATTACCAAATGTAAATCAATCAATCATGGTCCAATCAGAGTAAGTATGTTACAATTAAATTGACAAGGCTTGCAAGCAAATGTATTGGTTAACTCCAATTCTGGAACAACATTTCACAAGAATCATATTTTTTAAAATGTTCGATATTTCGTAAAATTCTCACTATTAGACCATTAAAGCAGAGATTCTTCGGGAATTAGTTGATAGAATGTTCGGGAATAATATGCAGTTAGTTTTAGAGATTATAATGGAATAAAAATATACCATTTATATTTTCCCACTACTCCCGAATTTGGCATATTTTGCGAATATTCCCAATTTTAGCCTATTTTGAAAATATTACCGAATTTGACATATTTTAGAAAAAAATCCCGAAATTTTATGCAAAATAGGCTAAGGATTTCCTAAAACACCCAAAATGTTCTAAAACACACTTTTCAAGAGAAACTTAAAATATTATTCAAAAAAATCCACAAAATTTTGAGATATGGTAAACAAAATATTCACAAAGTTAGTCACGTTGATTGAGTTAGTTGAGCGTCATTTTCTCTATATTTAAGAATATTTGTTTACAACTAAATTTAGGTACATTTAAAGCAAATTGGTTTAAAACAAATTTAAAGGAATAACTAAGGCTTCCAATTTTCGGGAATTCCCGAATAAAATAGTTAACAAAATCATCGGGAATTATATATCATTAGGTTTAGGGGTTATAATAGACCAAAAATATATAAGTTTTATTTCCCCGATTTTTCCCGATTTTGGCTTATTTTGAGAAAATTCCCGATTTTAGCATATTTTTGTAAAAATTCCCGAAAAGTCTATTTTTATGACAAATATTCCCGAATTTAGATATTTTTCGACGAAAATTATTCAGTTATTAACTATAATATTTAACCAAAACTCTTAATAAAATTCTAAACTGAATATAACTGAAATTAAAACATGTTTTGTAATCCACAACATGTCTTACAAAATATATATTGATTATCTCCGTCGAAGTCTAGCGTTCTTTCTCTCAGTTTAAGATTATTCTTAAAGATAAAAAACTGAAAAAGCTCAAATCGCATGTCATTATCAAATATAATTCATTCCTAAATGATTTATATGTATAATGATTGTGTTATAATTGAGTAAAATCGTATTTCCCGAATTTTCCCGATTTTGGTCTTTTAATTCCCGAATTTGGATGTTTTTACTCCCGGAAATTGGAAGCTTTAGGAATAACACAAGTCTTGTAAAATCAAGCGCTTGAATAACTTGAATACAAATTATCAACAAAAAAACAAAATACAATATTTGTTGAACATTTCAAAACGTTGACCGTCTGTCCCGGTCTGACCCGCGCCGGCACACACGACAAAATGCTCAAAACCGCAACTGTCCGGCAAACACACTGCCTTTAATATAACATTTATAGTGATTACAGTTACTGTTATAATAAGTGTATAATTTCAATAAAAACTTTATTAAACATTGAAGGCATATAAGTTTGTAAACAATTAAACACAATTAAAATTACTATTAAATATGGAAAATGAAGTTTCAATTCAATGCTTTACAATGTGTTCAAAATCTGCGCCAAATTTATCATCATTTTATTGAACAACTTTTCAAAACACAAAACAAGTTATTCACATATTTTTGGCAACTTTTTCAAAACAATATTAAATTGTTATTAAATTTAATTACAGTTAGGGCACAACTTTAGAATATAGGCCTCAGCGGAACAGACCGCGGAGTGTATATTTGAATAGCCCTTGGTCAGTAGTACCGAGGTATGGTAGTCCGAGTTTACGACGACAACCCGTTTTCGAGATATTCGAGTTCGAAGTTGTGATTTTCCCATAGAAGCCCATTATAAACAAAATTTTCTTTTTTACACCTTTTGTTATGTTATGTTATAGTTGTTCCGGAGATAAGACTTACATTTTGAGTTGTTCCGCGGATAAGAATTACATGTAGAGTTGTTCCGGAGATAAGACTTATATATAAAGTTGTTCCGCGGATAAGACATATAATGAGTTGTAAACTATATGTATATGTCTATATCTATATTTATAAATTGGTTAGGTTAGGTTAGGGTAGGTTAGGGTAGGTTAGGTTAGGTGTAAAAAAAGAAAATTTTGTTTATAATGGGCTTCTATGGGAATATCACAACTTCGATCTCGAATATCTCGAAAACGAGTTGTCGTCGTAAACTCGGACTACCATACCTCGGTACTACTGACCAAGGGCTATTCAAATATACACTCGGCGACCAGTTCCGCTGAGGCCTATATTCTAAAGGGCAGCCACAGTTAGTGTCAAACAAACATCAAAACAATAGCATTAATGCCTTGTATTATAGCAATCATTATAATCTAGTTTTGCGTAAACACTCAAAGTTAGCAATGATTTCAAACATGTGTTCAAATCGTTTGTGTGTTTTACTGAATATCCGGACAATAATTGGTTTCAAATTAAGACACTTTTCGACACAAAAAAGTGATAAAATCACACAAAAAGAGAGAAATGTTTGCGAAAACATAATTACCAGAAATGAGTGTTTGATTAATGAATATATTGTTTAATATTTCAGATGGAAATGTCTGTCTATAGTCCGGAACAGATCCGCAACTTCTGTATCATTGCTCACATAAATCACGGGAAGAGTACTCTATCGGACCGTATGCTCGAAGTGACCAAAACTATTGCCAAAGAACTCAATGCTAAACAATATTTGGATAAATTGGATGTCGAGAGGGAGAGAGGGATCACAGTTAAGGCACAGACGTGTTCAATGGTCTGGAACTACAACAACACACCATATCTTCTTAATTTGATTGACACTCCGGTAAGCGATGGCCAATAGGTTTGCTTGCATTCACTGTAACGGGTGTTGACGATAGGGTCACGTGGACTTCAGTTACGAGGTGTGGCGATCGGTGGCCGCGTGTGAGGGCGCTCTCATCCTCGTCGACGCCAATAGCGGAGTTCAGGCACAGACCGTCGCTCACTTCAATCACGCCCTCCTCGCAGAGCTCACCATAATTCCTGTCCTCAACAAAATTGATCTCAAGAATGCGGATCCAAAGGCGGCCGCACTTCAGATGAACAAATTGTTTGATATCCAAGAAAAGGATATTTTGAAAGTGTCGGCCAAACATGGATCAGGTGTTGAACAGCTGTTAAATGAATTGATTGATAGGATTCCGGCGCCGACTAAGTGACCAAAACTATTGCCAAAGAACTCAATGCTAAACAATATTTGGATAAATTGGATGTCGAGAGGGAGAGAGGGATCACAGTTAAGGCACAGACGTGTTCAATGGTCTGGAACTACAACAACACGCCATATCTTCTCAATTTGATTGACACTCCGGTAAGCGATGGCCAATAGGTTTGCGCGCATTCACTGTAACGGGTGTTGACGATAGGGTCACGTGGACTTCAGTTACGAGGTCTGGCGATCGGTGGCCGCGTGTGAGGGCGCTCTCATCCTCGTCGACGCCAACAGCGGAGTTCAGGCCCAGACCGTTGCTCACTTCAATCACGCCCTACTCGCAGAGCTCACCATAATTCCTGTCCTCAACAAAATTGATCTCAAGAATGCGGATCCAAAGACGGCCGCACTTCAGATGAACAAATTGTTTGATATCCAAGAAAAGGATATTTTGAAAGTGTCGGCCAAACATGGATCAGGTGTTGAACAGCTGTTAAATGAATTGATTGATAGGATTCCGGCGCCGACCGGCGACCCAAACAATCCGCTAAAAGTATTATACAGTATAATAGCTATTGATATGGTTTTCATAATCCGATTCTTCTTGAAGGCAATGGTATTTGATTTATGGCATCAGCCGTTCCGCGGAGTTATTCTTCTCATAAGAATATTAGAGGGATGTCTTAAAACTGGTGATGAGATCACATTGTTGTCCAGCGATAAGAGCCATACAATTAAGAAGATGAGTGTTTTACACCCGGAAGAGGTGTCTACTAATGCACTCTATGCGGGACAGGTAGGCGTTATTGAGGCCAACATTACTGAACACAAAGACGTTAATATTGGAGACATTATTGTTAAAAGCGGTGATAAACCAACAGATGGTTTAAATGTGATAAAAGTGACTGAAATCCAGAAAGCGGTTCCAATGGTGTTCGCCAGTGTCTACCCGTGCGAACAGTCAGCCTTTAATGAATTATCCAAAGCCATCAATAAATTACTTCTCAACGACAATGCCGTCGATTTGACTAAAGAGTCACATCCGGCGCTCGGCAATGGCTTTCGGTTCATAAACTTTTTATTTGTATTTTAATAATCATTTGTTACTAAAATATATAATAATTTCAACTTTAGATTGGGTTTTCTGGGATTACTTCATATGGAAGTCTTCTGCCAACGTCTTGATGACGAGTAAAAGCATTTATTGATTTTATTAAAGTTTAAATAAGTAATAATTTGTTGATTTGTATGAATTAGATTTAACGCTCAGGTGATCATAACAGCGCCGAGTGTTCCCTACAAAAGTATGTCTTGTTTTTGATGTCAAATTTAATGCAATTCATTGAATATTTCGAAATTTAGTTAAAATAAAAGGAGAAAAGAATATAAAAGCGTTTGGAAGCGAAGAACTCGTTATAACTAATGCCTCGAAATTACCAAATGTTGCCATAATTAGTGAATACTTCGAGCCGATGGTCATCGGGACTGTCATTACACCCGAACTTTACTTGAATGATGTGAACAATATATGCCTCAATAGACGTGGCATTCAAACCAATTCCTATTATATCGATAACACAAGACTTTTACTTCAATATAAGTTTCCATTGAGTGAAATAATTATCGACTTTTACGACGAGTTAAAGTCTGTCACTTCGGGTTACGCCTCGTTTGACTACGAAGACAGTGGCTATGAGAGCACCAAATTAGTCAAACTCGATGTACTTCTTAATGATAAACCCGTCGATGAATTGTCTCTTCTGGTGAATGCGTTGAGAGCCAAAACATACGGCAAGAATATATGCCTTAAGCTGAAGGACAGTCTAAAGAGACAACAATTCAAAATCAAAATCCAGGCCGCGATCGGAGGCAAGATTGTCGCCCGAGAGGACATCAAAGCCTATCGAAAGGGTATGCAATCTCAATACGTTTAGACTTTATGATCATTATTATGATGACAACAGATGTGACCGCAAAGCTATACGGAGGCGACACAACCAGAAGAGACAAACTATTGCAACGACAGGCAGAGGGCAAACGTAGACTCAGAAGAATCGGAAACATTGAAATCACTTCCGAGACACTAATCAATGTCTTTAAGAAATGATCACTTCTTTACATCTCTAGTCTATTTACTAATTAATCCATTTTTACAATCTATTAGTCATTTTGTTGTAATTATAACAAATAAGATAACAATTTAGTTAATATTGTTTTAATTTATAAATACATTTCTTTTTGACATTTCTTTATAAAACACTCCAT